GTGTGTATGTATATATGTGTGTGTATGTGTGTGCGTGTATATATATATAATATACCACAACTTTATCCAGTCTTCTGTCAGTGGACATTTAGGCTGTTTCCATGTCTTGACTATATGTAAATATGCTATGAACATTGGGGTGCATGTGTCTTTTTGAATTATATTTTTCTCAAGACATATGCCCAGGAGTGGGATTGCTGGGTCACACAGTAAGTCTATTTTTAGTTTCTTAAGAAATCTCCATACTGTCCTCCTTAGTGGCTGCACCTGTTTACATTCCCACCAGCAGTGTAGGAGGTTCCTTTTTCTCTTAAAAGGGCAAAAAGTCTCTACCTTTATATACTTTCCGCACAGTTTAGGACACAATTCGGCAGAAGCTAGATAGAATTTGATAGCAGTAAATACAGTATCTTTTTAAATGTCTGCATAATCTGGACAGATATGTTACTGATGAATTAATTCCCTATTTTTGTAGATGCAGAAGTTTTTATAGCTTCGCAGACATTTCAGTCTTGCAGAGAGAAAAATTTCTTTGCATTTTGCCGAACTTGCCTAGCTGGTTTTATCGAATTTGGTCAAGGCCTGCAGAGGTGGATACACATCCAAACCTGAACTATTTGAAAGTCTGCAAGATTTTAAAAGTCTAGCGTGTCAGATCTGGACTATAACTCTGGTAAATGACATCCGTGACTAGGACTCAAAAAAACTCCATTTGAGTGTAAAACCTTTCGTAAGCCAAAAAAAGCCTTGGAATTGTGGCAAAGCCAGAGACTTCTGCACACCGCAAATGGTCACAAACCCACAGGGACAACCCAAGGGCCTTCTGGAGTGCCAAGGGAATTCCATGTGAGAAATCCAACCCACTCACAGGCCCCCGCCAGCCAGAGCGCCTTCACTGCTCCTGTGTTGTTTTGAGCAAATGTCTTTTCCTCAGGTTCAAATTGGTTTGTTTTTATTTTTACTTTTTTGTATAAAAAACAAACAACTTCTTGTTCCCTTGGTAAAACTAAAAGCCTAACATATTTTCTGATTTCTTTTGACAGAGAAAAAGACGAGCCTATGAATCTAACCTCATCTGTGATGGCCTGCAGCTGGAAGCAACCAGATCAGTAAGTGTCAGTCCCTTTGCAGCCCTCGGCTGGGAGCCTGCATGTTACTTGGAATGCTGCAATGGCATCTGAAACATGTCACCCCAGCCACGCCTTCGCTGTGGGCTGGGAGGGGGGTCAGTCAGAATCTGCCTTTTGGAATGTATGTTTCAGATCCAAAGCTTTTTTAATAGCCAAAGAATGTAGTCATAAATATATGTATTAATATACTTACTCAAGAACCTTTTTAAAGACTTTTTTATTATACAAATAATAGTTTACCAAAAATAATTAGAAAATGAAAGAATAGTGTAATTAAAAATCATCTATACCTTAATTATCCATAAATAATCTTATAATCCTTCTAAATATTTTTTTGCTCAAATATAGATGTTTTTCCCTTCCAAAAACAAAAATTATTTCACAGTTTTTTTGCTTTTTCCTTTTATTACGTATTCCATATCAATAAATATAATTCTTTTAAATCCTTTTTAATGGCTGTATAACACTATCTTGAACAGATACGTAATACATTAAATAGTCCTCTTCTAGGTATGAGAAATTTAAAAAATTGTCATTGCAACACCACTGCAGTGAATATTCTAGTATTTTTATTTTTATTTACTAATTCGGACTAAAAATTAACAAGTTTGCTTTTCTTCATCTAAAACATTGGTAATTTTATGAAAGAACTATAAGGACTTTAATTACTTTTTCAATAATTTGAACAAAGAAATTATCTTTAAGGCAAAAATGTACGATGGTTTGCAAATCTATTTTTGTTGCATCTTCACTTTTACCAGTGTCACGTGTGTGCATGTTTGCACACATGTTTTAACTACCAGCAACATAAGAAAAATCTGTGCACTAAACATGCGAACATAGTTGGTATCCTGGTTTGTGTGTTCATTCTCCCCAATACAGGTGTTGGATGACAAGCTTGTATTTGTAAAAGTGCACGCCCCGTGGGAGGTGCTGTGTACGTACGCTGAGATAATGCACATCAAATTGCCTCTGAAGCCCAATGATCTGAAAACCCGGTCCTCAGCCTTCGGTAATTTCAACTGGTTTACCAAAGTCCTCCAGGTGGATGAGAGTATCATCAAGCCAGAGCAGGAGTTTTTCACCGCCCCGTTTGAGAAGAGCCGCATGAATGACTTTTATATTCAGGATAGAGATACATTCTTCAATCCAGCCACCAGAAGCCGCATTGTAAGTCTAAACCAAGTTTAGCTGCTGTCCTGGGGGTGATTTAGAACCTGCTGTTGAATTATTTAGTGGTTTAGTTTGGTTTTTAAAAGCTGCCAAAAAAAAAAGAGAGAGAGAGAGAAAGAAAAGAAATGCGCCTACAGATTCCTGTTAAGACAGTAAACAGTGGCTGGTTAGTTTCCCTGTATAAACCACACACTCTCTTTCGGCATCTTTTTAGGTTTACTTCATCCTTTCTCGGATCAAGTATCAAATAACGGACAATGTTAAAAAGTTCGGGATTAACAAGCTTGTGAGCTCCGGGATCTACAAGGCAGCTTTCCCTCTCCATGATGTAAGTCAAATGGCAAAAATGAAATCAAGCGCCTCACGTATCCTCCGGTGTTAACAGGAAAGGGCTAATCTTCTTGACTTTGTTTTTTCCTGGGTAAAATGAAGACAATGTATCAGAAGGGTACAAGCTCATGTAGGGCAGGAATCATGTTGTATTGTTCACTTCTGAATCCCAGGCACAGGGAAGACCCTGAGCTTAAATGAGTGAGTGAATGAATGAACAAACTGTAGCTCCCCCATAGTTAATGTGTGGGGCAGTGTGGATTAGCAGTTAAGAGCACAGACTCAAGAAGGGAGGGTTTGGTTCAAATGATAACGTGCATGTTTAGCACACATAAGGTCCTGGGTTCAGTCCCCAGTACCTCCTCTAACATAAATAAATAAACCTAATTACCCCCCCACCCCCCACCTCCTACCAATATTACCTAATTATCTACCCCCTCACCAAAAAAAAAAAAAAAAGAAAGCAGTGGCCAAGAGCATAGACTCAGGCTGGAACACCTGCTGTGCCAGTTTCTCACTGATTGACCTTGTGAAAATCATTTAGCCTCTCTGTTTATCAACTTCCTCATCAGTAAAATGGGTATAATGATAGTACCTACCTCGTAGAGTTGCTGTGGGGATGAATGAATCCATGTCAATGTTAGAACAGCCCTGGCATGTAGTAAGTACTATATATCTGTCAGCTCTTTTCATAATTACTGGAAGATGTTATTATCGACCAAAAAAGTATTAGTTCTTTGTAAGAGAGATACATGTCAGACCATTTCATTTATCATTTTCTGTAATTCAGGCCGTTCCCCTCTGAAATACCATTTTCTGGCTGTGCACTAGATATCACAGGGCTTTCAAAAAGGCATCTGTCTGGGTTCTTGTCACGATGGCAATACTGCAGAGTATTGACATTTTTTAGGGACTCCGTTCTGAGATGACAGCAACCCCTCAAATTCTAGAGCACTTCTCTAGCTGATAGCATCTCATGAAATGAAATTTTTATAATGTGACTGCTTCAGACCCTTAATGATGCCATAAATGTAAGGATATTATATCTAAGCTCTTTAAATAAATTCTGCCATTGAAATAAAGGAAATACTATATTATAGCGCTCTGTGACTTTGTTATATTCGATATCTTAAGACCAAAGAAAACAAAGACGGAGATTGATCATTACTACTGTGTGGTATACGTATTTGTGGATGAAAACAGTACTGAAATGGACTGTACAAGATTAAAACAAGGACACTAAACAGCTGCTTGATACACATGCATGGACAGAGAGCAGGGAGCTGGGTGGAGAAGCAGACCCTGAGCTTCCTGGCTCAGAGACCCAGCATAGCAGTCCAGCCTGGCAGTCCATGTGTTTTATATTTGTGTCCCAGCAAAATTAGCAATGAGAGCCTGAAATGAACTTTGGGGACACTTGCAAAGAGCTGTCATGATTAGTCATATGGGACGCCAGGATTCTACGGTACTTAGTTGGCGTCTGCACACAACCAGTTCTTTTCCACTAATGCCTCTTGTAATTGCTGGTCCCACGTCCAGGTTAAGGAATAATCTCGTGGTGTTTGGGAGGGAGGTAACCACTTACACGAGTCAGGACCCGTGTGAAGGCTGGGCGGGTGATAATCTGGTTCTAGTAATGGGGGAAGGAAAGTGAGTCAGGTGGGAAGAAGAATGACTGGATTTAAGCTTTGTTTCTTGACTAAGCTAAATGTATAACATCATGTCAGGTTTCTTTATTGTTTATATTCCATGTGCTCTCACAGAATAACTACTGAATTGTGGGGCAAAAAAGCCTGGGTTTTAGAATTGATCCTGCCCCTAACCAGCCAGAGTCCCTGGTTCCCCTGGGTGTCCAAGGAGGGGGCTGGACCATCAGGTGTTCCTCAACTGTGGCGGTTTGGGCACTTGGGGACCTAATTTTTTTCCTGTTTAGGACTGGCCAGCTTGTAGGACACTGAGCATCTGCAGGGCTCTCACCAGGTACCTGCGGTGCAACGTCCAAGCGTTCCTTTCCACCCACATTCACAGATGACCCTCATGGGGTTAATACTACCCCTGGTTGAGAATTATGAAAAATTATGTGGTACTTCCATCCCTTCTGGCAAATGAAGTCCCCTTATAATTTGTTAGCACCATGTTTTATCAGTGGAACATGTGAACACGGTGATTGTGACGCTCACCTGTTTGCTTCTGCTTCCCAGTGCAACTTCAGCACTCCGTCAAAGGACCTCAGCTGCCCCAATGAACGGTACCTTCTGTACAGAGAGTGGGCTCATCCTCGAAGCATATACAAGAAGCAGCCCTTGGATCTCATCAGGTGAGCTGTGGTGGAGAGCGCTCCAGTGGGAAGGGCTCAGGGTTGCCCTTGTGGTGTCTAAGTGCGACAGTCCTCCACGAGTGTTACCAACCAGGAAGCTCACGGGAGCTCTGAGCTTCGTTGCCCTAAGTTTTTATTGGCGGCTTTATTACAAAAGCACGATTGGTTGAGTCACTACCTACACAGCCAACCCGAACCCTAACCCTAACTTGAACCTTGCCTTAACCCTGACCCTTCAGCCCCTTCCTGCCCCGGCGGTCGCTCAGCTATCACACAGCTCAAAGCCCCAACCCTCTAATCACATGGTTGGTGTCTCTGGCTGGCCAGTCCCCACCCTGAGTCACCTCATGAGCACAGGCCATCCAAGGGTCCACCACGAATAACAAAGACACTCCTACCTTGGGAAAGTTCAAGGCTTCAGAGGTTGCCTTCCAGGAACTGGGAACCAAAGACCCCCCAAATTCTTCATTCAACAGGAGTAAATGTTACATTTTGCTTGAATTATATAGTAAGAGCTAGAAATTCTCCCTGCTTTGCTGTATCTGCCGTTCAATACTGTTTCACTGTGCCAGTGACTGTAACATCGCGCTCAGCGTGTGTCTTCTCGAAGCACCAGTGTCGGCTGCTCCCCGGGAGCTTCTGTTGTTTAGACAAGGCTGCTGGGGACAGGGAGACCAAGAACAACCGAGCAAACAAAAATAAGCAAACAAATAAGGAAACAAAATGTCTGATTGAAATGACGGCAATAACACAGTGTTGAGATGGGGAGACGTGGGGGAAGTGAGTCGAGAAAGCTATCTTTGAGTAGGTGACATTGTTAGCTGAGGTGTGGATGGTGAAAAGGAGGCCAGACTTTGAGGATCTGAGAAAAGTCACCCCAGAAACAGAGGCAGCTTGTCCAGTGGCCCCAAGGCACAAATGCACTCGGCAGGTTTGAGGAGATGTTGAAAGCCAGCGCTGGTGAGAATGATGAGACGCGAGGTTTAGAAGGGTGTCGGGAGCCCGGAAAGGAGTGTAGACTCTGAGTGCAGTGAGAAGCAGCCATGATAGTGTAAGCACTTTAGTAATTTTGTCTCGCTCACATTTTGCAAAGATAGTGTGGAGAAACGGATTGCAGGGGCCCAGGAAGCAGGGAGGCCGGGTAGGGGGCCCTGGGAGCGGGCCAGATGAGAGATGGTGGGAGCCAGTGTGGAATGCGTTTGGGGAGTGGAATTGACAGGACATGGTTATGGGTTGGATGTGGACAGTGAGGAGGAGAAGAGGAGGGTCAAGGTAGCCCCAGGTCGGCCTGGAGCCAGGGGCCTGTTCTAATCTCAGTGCCCCATGCAGGTGCCCACCTCCCTGGGCAAACCTCTTAACCTTCAAAGTGAGAGTTTTAAAACACTGTGAAGTGTTTTTGTTTGTTTCACATTTTATGGAAAGTTTCAAACATGTACAGAAGTAGAGAGAACAGCACAGCCAGCCTGCCTATAT